GCAACGCTGGGAGGAGGTGGCGAAAGCTGGATTAAAAAAAAAAAACAAAACCCTGAGAGCTTTTGGTTTATAAACACAGTGTTTCAACACCAACGTTTGTGTTTATGCTCCCCACACTGTCACACTTGTCTCCTGGCATATGCTCCATCTGGCTGGGGAGATGCATCTGCTCCCTCCTGCTGCGGGCTCTCCACGGGCAGCTGAGCTCGCCCCGCTCACCGCGAGCCCACCCCTGACACCACACGGTTGGGGCTGAGGGACACGGATGGCTCCTGGAACAGCTCCTGGTTAAGATTTTGTGACAAGGCAGAGGTGAAAATGCCCTTTTTTGTATTCTAATCCAGCACCTGTTACCTGCTCTCTGTCTGAACGGTGGCACCACCACCCTCACACAGAGTCATCACTAATGTTCCTGCCCATTACAGTCATTGTGAGATATTTAACACAAGCACCCAAATCACTTGCTGTCCTGAGTATGTTTGCAATAATTACATGATACAGTTTAGGAGAGGTTTCTTTTATAGTTTTAGTTCCAGTTTTTACTCCAGATCACTGCCTGTTTCAAGGACAGCTGTCAAGAATTGGGGTATAAGCTCAGCCTTATTCAGCACATTACACCACACTGCAAACAGCATCAAACTGCAGAGCACAGAGGAGGCTCATTAACTGACACCCACCCGGAATTCTCCTGGGCACAGACGCCAACTGGAAAAGTAGGTCACATTATAGACAGGCTCCTAAAAATCCACTCACTGCAGGCTGATGAGGTGAGGTGATGGAACCAGCACAGCCCATCCAGGCCACACCGAGGGGAAATGAACCCTCTTCTGCTGGAACACTCAGGGAACATCAAACCACGGAAAAGAGAGAAAAGGCTGAGCTTAACAGGCAAGAAGAGTCATCTTCAGGCCTTGACTCCCAGGAAAAGGGAGGCTGGAAGAGAGGGAATGACTGAGCAACTGCTGCTGTCTCAGAGTCTCATGAAGGGTGGAAGGAGCCAAAATGGAAGTGGCACCTTGTACAGAAGCTGTAATAACCTTAACACACCCTGCACTAAAGAAAGTGTCTGTTCATCTCCCAGTTTTCCTTTGGATTTAAAAATTATGAACACTCAAGATCTCAATTGTCTTCAATACATTAAAACATTTTGTTGACCATACAGATACAGAATCCTGATAAAACCTGAAACTATTCCCATTTTGCTCTGCAAAAGTACTACTTTCTTCAGGAAAAATAATTACTTGTCAAGAATAATCTGTTACAGGAAAAAAAAAAATCCATGAATATTAAAGCACCAAAATGCTTTAACACCTACAGCAAGTCCTTCAAATCACAGGCAGTTCTTCAGTGCAACAACCTGCAACTGTGCCAAGGTGGGTTTGTAAAGCTAAATACATGATGCTGGTATTTCAGGAATTCAAAGCACACACTGAGTGAAAAATCTCAGGTTTTTTTCCATATCCCTACAGGATCCATCTAACCTGTGCAAAAGCACTGCCCTGGATGCAAATAACATGAATGAAACCTTACAAGAGACCAAAAACACTCTCACCTGATGTGAGAAGTATCATTTTCTCCAAGAGCAAGAAACATGAAATAATTTTTTTGAATGGCAATTTATATTTCTGAAATCACAGAAAAGGATTATTTTGGAATTTTAACAGAAGATACCTTTTTTTTTTTTTTTGCTTTCACGAGGTTTAAAGAAAACATTACACTCATCAGCCCTGGAGTAAATGCCTGTTACTAAAAGGGCAGGAGATGAGCAATCCTAACAACAGTCCTCACCAGTATCAGCTGTGCTCACCTCCCATATTCCAGAGGGATGCAGAAACTAATCTAATAAACCCATCAGACCAATTGTGCCTGATCCTGACAAGCAAGGAAGTATTTCTGCATAGACATGTGGATGTTCTGAAGATTTGAGGTGTTTCAAACAATCCTGTTTACTTTGTTCACGTGGGTTTTTTCAACACTGTAAAACAGATTCAAACAGAAAAAAATAAAATAAAATCAAGAATCACAGAGGTTGAGATCCAGCTCAAAATGCCACACAAATTCCAGGCCATCTGTCACAGGATCTTCTGCCTTAATGTAGCAAATGACAGGGAATGGTGTATTCCCAAGTATTCTACTGACATCAGAAAATTAAGCTTACATTAAAACTAAATTCTAATTTGCAATTCCAGTTATTCAGAAGTCTGATTCTGCCTAAAAAAACACATTCCTTACACCCATATCAGTTATTTGGTACCAGGTAGCTACGAAAGGGAAAAAATTGTAATGAAAAAACCCATGACATGAAAGAGGTAAGGAAATGAGGTTGGGTTGGGTCAGGCTGGAGGGGGTTTGGAGCACCCTGGCCTAGTGGAAGGTGTCCCTGCCCATGGTAGGGGGTTGGAAAGAGAGGAGCTTTAAGCCCCTTCCAACTCAAACCAGTCTGTGGTTCTATAATAAACCAACATTTTATTGATGGGTAAAGTGCTTAGAAATTGAGTGGGGAAAAAGGAGGACAAGGAAACACTAACAGAAATTAAAAATGGGACCAATAAATACACATAAAAAGGACAAAAAAGTTAGAAAAGAATAGGTCTAGGACAGCAACAGAGCATTCACATCTACAATAACATGTACAGTGAAAGACATAAGGGCATGTATCAAAAAAAAAATCATCGTATTCATTTAAGATGCCAGTGCTCTCCCTCCTACTATGTTTTCCCAAACATTCCAGCAGCGACAGAAGACACCAAGCTCTGGGCATATAAAAGCAATTCCTCTGCCAAAGCTGAGCAGGAGACAACTCTGAGGGGAAGTTGTCTCAGCGATTTCACTTAATCATCTACAACATTGCACTGAAAATAAGGAACAGCACATTTGTTTCTTCCCTTCCACGGTTTCTGGGCTGTCTGGAATTAGCTTTCCTTCAAACCCAGAAAATCCCACCCTCCTCATGCACACCAGGACCACAGTGGGGCCACACCAGTTCCAGGGGGAGCCCCCACCCCAATAAATGCCATTTGTCATGTCCAAGGAGGAAAGTGAATTACTAAACTCTTAATTAATATCTAGACATCAGCTGTAGCTCCTTATAATTATTTATTCCAGCTTGCTTTAGTAAGGATTTGACAGATTTCAGGCTTTTTTTTAGTAATTTTCATTCGTTAAAGCAGAATTTCTACACAAGTACAATAAAGAGAAGCCATTTTACATTGTCCTTCCAGCATGTTTCCAAAATGCTGGGGATGTAACTCAGCCTCTATCACACTCCAAGCACCCACCAATCCAGAAAGAAAAAAAAAAACCCAAAATATTTCACAGCCAGACCAAAGAGCACACAGGGCTAAGCTGAAGAGACAGGAAGATGCACTCCTGAATTACACTATGTTTGAAAAATGGGAATGAAGTCCTAAATGCCACACTAGTGTAATACAGAAAATCCACAGAGGAAAATTAGAAAGAATCTGCAGATGAGTCCTCGCATGTTCCCCCCGAGCACATCTGCACTGCTGCACTGACTGCCCTTCTCATGGAGCTGTCAGGGGTCAAGCACTTGACACTGGGAAAAAAGCCCCTCCAACAAAAAGAACCCAAAAAAATACAGGCAGCCTCTGTGCAGAATTACTTTGAAAGAGTCCTTAGTCCTCGTGGTGTGGAGAAGCACTTTTACCACAAGTCACAACACAAAGAGGCCTTGGATGCAGAACAAGACTCAGCCTGACTTGCAGCCCTGTCTCAAGCTCACATCTGTCACAATCAAAAGCTCATCCTGAAATAATCAGGTTTCCCCCTCCTCTGCAGTGGCCATCCCTTATTTATGCTAATCCAGTAACTCAGTAATAAGCCTTCAACTCTTTCCAGCTTGTATTATCCCTCTCTCAGAACTCAGTGCTGAAGACAGAAGTTGGGGAGGGCTTTTTTCTGATCATAAAAGACAGCTGACAAATCAGCAGAGAATCTTCTCAGAGAGAAATAAAGCATTTGTGTGGATCTCAGTTTTGTCAATCTAATTCTTGCCTGAAGACTCATTTACAAGATCAGCAAGTATCATCTCCCTGTGCTCTGATCCCTTGGCAATAGGCTCCTCAGCTATACAAGGCTAATCATTATTCCAAAATCATTCCTAAAAAGCAAGGCATTTGTTCAGAAGACAACTTCAGAATTTCAATGAAACCCTGAAGTCAGCCACCTGTTTTGGTCTATTTACAGGACTGCTGGAGACACGACTGATCTGAAATGCAGTTACAGTACATCAAGGCTCCAATTGCCAAGAAAATCCTTGAATTCCACTGCACCTAATATAGAAATTATGTACTGAAAAGAGTTTCTATTTAAAGCACAAGCATTATAAAAGCAGATGAAACCAATACCTTTGAGTAAATATATTCATGCTATTCTATTACTGCAGAAACTGCAGTCACTCTGCTGCTGGTTTAACTCACATAAAGAGTGACTGGACACATTTCATTTTGTTTGTTCCATAGATTCTCTTTTTTGGTTTGGTTTTTCTTGGCTGAACAGGCTGTGGGTGATTTGATCTGTGTGCAAGATTTGACTGGTAAAGTCACTACTACCTGAGAAGAGAAAAGGGGCCAACCCTAATTGTCTGTTGGGCAGAGAGAAAACAGAGAGGACACTCTTTTGACCTTATTCTCCATCCAATTGATCTTTTTTCCCCAATTAAAACCTTGAACAGTTCTCCTCCTCCCACCCCCAGAGGAACAACCATCTTTCACACCTCTATTTCCACTGCCAAATGTGATTGAAACCAAACACGTTTCCCAGAAACTGGCAGGGGGCGGAGGGCAGATGGGAAAACAACATGGCTGGAAAGACAACTTATTGCCTCAGAGAAACCAGGCTAAAAGCAGCAGTTTACATCTTATGACAAGGTATTTAAATAACTTGAGAACATCTGGTTAAAATATCCTAAAAATCCTCTCCATTGCTCTACATTGGACGAACTAAGGAGGTAAGAGTGACGGGTCTGTTCAAATTGTTACCTCAACGATGTCTGAGTTGGTTCTGCTTTCGTGGGGCTCGTTGTATTCTGTGTATTTTAGTAGCACTTTGTCCATGTCAGTGCTGGCATATTGAAAGAGTTTGTTAGAGCTGTTAAAAATGATGAGTGCTATTTCACAGTCACACAGTACACTCAGCTCATAGGCCTTCTTCATTAATCCAAACTTCCTCTTGGTAAAGGTGACCTGGGGAAGAGAGAAGAACGATTTGTTTATGGTGTAAAAACACGTGACAAGGGTTTGAAGGATGGTCATCAAGGAATACTGAGCCTACACTACTTATTCCTACTGTCATGTGTACAAGCTTAACAGAAGAGCTGACTGCAACATCTGGTGTCCCTTTTAGGGCCCAGTGATGTGTATTGGACTAAGCTAAACAATTACACACCCCTCATTTTTCCACTGGTGAACAACCACCAAGGAGAGTTAAATTTGGTAGGATTCTCTACCTGCCTTTCCTGCTGTTCAACAAATTTCTGAGTATCACAGAATTTTCTTCTGTGGTACTTGCAACCTTAATTCTAATAAAATTGAGGAAAACAGCACCAGCAATGGAAGTAACACTGTCACCATGAAATATGATTTTTAATTATGCTAAGCTAAGAAATATTCTTATTTTGCTGCTATTAAATCATCTAATCAGATTCACTTATATTTTTGGCTTATCTTCTGCCACCTGGAAACATCAGGAAGCGATTGTTCTGTCCTGCTAGAACTGCTGGGGGGAAATAAATCCATTACAGACCATCACAAAGGAGCATTTGCCCATCAGGGAAGGAGGAAACAGTTATAAAAGTTATCACTGATTATGGAAAAAAAGGTTTAAAAAATTATTCCCTTCACAAGACACCAGTTAAGGCTATAAAAGTATCAAGGCATGTGACACCCCCTTGTTGCAGCCCAGAGCATGAGTGACCCACACACCCCACATTTCACAGACAATACTCAATGTGCTTTTGCAAGACAGGAATGAAGTAAGACACAAGGAACAATCAAACCTGTTTTTTGGGTTCCTATGGTTTATGTTAATTACTTAGGTGTACACCAAGAAAATTCTGTCTATACACACCTCAAGGCTTTTTTTTTTTCCCCTGAGGTGATTATCTCATGCATGTTACTGTTTTAATATTATCAATAACACGAAATATAAACTCTTCTTCCCACCACACCAACAGTCTGAGGGTTGCACAGGTACAGCTGTTCTTCTTTGACACCTAAAGGTTATTCCCTGAGTATGAGCAGGTGTAGAGAGGTGCTACTGTTCAGTGTTTGTCAGGAAAAAGGCACCAATAATGAGATGTGTGTGTGCTGTACCAGCTTCAGAAGTCACTGGACTGAAGGTTCACTTCCACTGTACAACCCCAGACAAGGGCTCTTCATTTCCTGACTGAAACTGTATCTCTCTCACCTCCTGAAGGGCTGCTTTACTTGTGACATTCTCAGCTGGCATCAACTTCTCACGCTGTGTGTGGACCAACCCCACCACCACAGCACCCCAAGCCTTACTCGAACACTCGTGGATTATTTTCAATTCCATTTTCGTTTCAGAACTCAAAAAAAGTGAAATTAGTTCTGCAAATTTTTTTTTCCTTGCCATTTAGGATCACACCAAAAGCAAAAATATGTCTCTTTATTGAAGGTCAATGAATTTCTCAGCACTATTTTAATATTCCTTAGCAAAAAAAATGGGTGAGGAGGAGACAGCAAAGGCAGCAAGATCGAGCTCCTTTGCTATCTAATTTACTGTACTGGATTCTCTTCAGCTTAATGAAGATAAATGTCCTACAGCTCATTCAAGCAGATAAGGCTGCTTAATTAATAATACAATGACAGTCTCCTGACAAATTGTAATCCCCTGGAGTAATGGTCTATATATTCTGGTTTGAGCTCACATACAGTCCCTCAGAAAGAAGATGCTTCTGACCAAACAGTAGTTTTCCTTCCCACATAAATTACATGAACTTACTCTGCAGGCAAAGCTCTGTCTCCTTCTACTTATATATTCCAGCAAAAACCCCTAAACATCAAAATAAACACTCAAACATGACATCACATGCAGGTCCATGAGTGACTCCTCACCAGCTCCATGTGCCTCAGAAAACCTGACAGGACACACCTGAACAAACTCTAAATTCCCTCCTTATCTGGGTCAATGAAAAAAATCTCACAGTAAATACCTTATAAATGCCCAAAGCATCAGAGTGTTTTATTATCTTAAAACTCCATATAGTGGTTACCAAAACCATGGGACACCTGTGGGGTTAAAGATCATCAATACCTGCACACATAAGATTCCACTAAAAAAAACTATTTAATCTCCTTAAAAACTTTTAGAAACAAGATGCAGTATGTTTGCATTTCTGAGTTTCCACATTAAAAAAAATAAGGCAAACCTAACTCCATTTTTAAGTTACAGCTTAAAACCTCTTCCTAGTCATTAAAAAGCCCAAAAAGATGTTGGCCAAAAACCAGCCAGAAACAAAACTTAAAATTTAATCTGCATATTTTGCTCCAGTCACAGCAATGGTACAACTGGGCTAAAATTTGATACAAATACACTGATTCTCTTCCTCTCCATTGTTTCAATCTGAACAATGAGATGGAGATTCAGAAACAAAAAAAATCCCCCTGAAAGAAAGAAAAAAACACCTCAACAAAGTCAGGGTAGAATATAATGACATTTCTGTTTCGAGCTGAACAAAACCAAGGTTGTGCAACTCACACCAAAAAAACTTAAAAAAAGGGATGAGAGGGATCAGTTTCCACCTTTTCAGTGTCCCTTAAATTTTAGAGCAAGATTCAAAAAGCACTGAAGTTATTAATTCATCTCCCTTTACTACGTGTACTTAAGACATTTATCTACATCAAACACACAGTTACTGGGTGATTAAAGCTGTTCAAACACAATACTTGGCTCTCTCCCAAACTCCAGTAATACTTTTCTTACTATATTTAGACTTCTCAGAGTTTACATTGCTTTAAAGTGATACAGGGAGGAAAACAATCCTGATTTCACAAACAAAACAAAGGGCTCTGAGCTGATGTGTCAGCAGTGAGAGAGTCCCATGGAATTCTGACACTGCCCCAACACAAGTTGGTGCTCAGAAGTTAAAAAAGCAAATCGAATACCAGGAAGGGGTGCACCACTACATAAGTCCATGTTTTCCATGGATCCTGAATTCTGGGCCCTTTGGCCACCAAAAATAACACAGTAATACTGCAGAAGGTTTAGGGATAAGTTGAAAGAGGTGTGGAACAAACTCTGTATTAGAACAACTAAGGAAGCAAGGCCTGAAAACCTCATTTTAAGAGAAAATAAGCAAAGGTGAGAGAGTTCACAGAACAACAGGAACATGGACAGACTATACAGGGAGTCACTGCTGCCTCTTCCACACCAGAGTGTGGAATAACTGAGGAACTGGCAGAACCAAGACAAAGGATAAGGAAAAGGTGTTTTTTGAAGCAACAGGTAACAGACCTGTAGGCAATTCTGGACAAAAGGTGTAAATGCTGCAACGTTTAAGGGCTCAGAGGAGAACTGACCAAGTTCCCTGGCGGGGGGAAGGGAAAACAAACACAAAAAAATCCATTAATGGTTACTAAATATACGGAAACCACATCCAGCTCAGGAAATCCCTGAGCTAAGAATAGTCGGGAGCTGGAAGAGGATTAGAGTGTGTAACGTGTTCACCTCCAGCCCACACGGATTGGCCTGGACTGTCACAGGACAAGAGACACCTTCGCTCTGGGCCACCAAGACTGTCCTAAGGATCACATTCCTAGGATAATTTTCCTTGAAAATGGCAGCTTCCAGATATCCCTCTGTGTATTTCAATTTCAAATTGAAATGTATTTGGTATCTCATGTAGTAATGCAGAAGTTAAGAGGAAACACTGCTGCTGGAGTCATGAACCTTTGGGACTTGCCAAGCTCTCTGTTAGGGCAAGAGCAGTTTTCCCCAAAACACTCCCTTTGGAGCACTCTTCCCTTTTGACTGACCATTTTTGAAGACTGTTGTAGCAAACAGCTCTTATAAGAAATAGAAATCAATGCTTTTAAAAAGAATCATGGTAACACAATTCAGGATTGCATCACTGCCCCAGCAATGTCAAACTCCTCTGCCCAAGAGCTGCAGCAAATCCCTTCACCAGATCCTTCCAGAATTCCTCATCCTTTCTCTCTCTTCAGCAGAGAGTTCCCAGTAGCAATTAGATCAAGTGAGGTGACTGTTTCCAAACACTCCTCCAGCCTACTGGAAGAACAGCCCAGGGTACCACTTCAACAGGAAGAGCAGTTTTACAGTCAATATGATTTAAAGTAGTAATTGATATTACTTATAAAGAACAATTTTCCCTCAAACAGCACCATTGAGACATTTCCTATTCATATTCTGGCAATGGTATCTACAGAGAGATGAAAAGAAAGCTCAGCTTTAGAACAATGAATTAAGAAGAAGAGAATGTATTCTGACTTCCCACTAATTTTTAGGATTCCTGATGAACTTGTTCATGCAGATTGCTTGTTCCTCACCTGTCTGTTCCGTTCATCCATTATTCTCGTGATCTGTATTTTCTTCCTCCCCATTTTTGGCCTCCTCTTTCTTTTGCTTTGCAAGCCAGAAATGTACTAATCCAAGGAATGTCCCTCTCCAGTATTCTAACACATGATACAGTTTTCTTTTACTCTGTCTTCAGCTTGAGAAACCGTTCCTATTTCTTCTTATAAGCACCTAAAAAAAAGAATAGAAAAAAATTAATTGATAAATTAATAAAGAGGAAGCACCATTAAAAACCTGTAGGGTCATAAAACATGGGCATCATAGAATTTCAGTGATAAATCAAGTATTTTCATTAGTAAAATATTATACCACAGACTTTGTTCCCATTAAACAAACTCCAACTGGTTGGTAGCTTTCTACCTACAAACTTAAAATGACCAATAATTCCATACACTTCCAATTGGATGCCTTAAAAATATAGTTGTCACAGGGGTGATGCTCATCACTCTAAGCTTTAGGCCCTGATTGAGGTTTCAGACATTTACCCACCAAGTTTTGGTAAATTCCATTCAATAATTTAGGAAACCTCAAAGAGAAACACTTTGTGTTTCCTGTTTCTCTTGTAAAATTATCATAAAGATAATGAAACAAAGCCATGAGAGCACCAAATTTCTGTTCCTAAAACTAAATTACATCTCGTTCTGTGCAACAATATTCGGGGTTTCATTGGGAAGCAAGAGGGAGAAGGAAACAGGGAATTTCTTTACTGAAAAGAGACCACAGAAAACAGCTTTGCAACAAAACTATTTCATGGCTACCAAGACACCACTGAAGAATTAAGACTTTGACACAGTTCCTCTCTCTACAATAACCTGTAAATTACAATCTGCCAATACCCAGGACCAGTCCAGCACCCCTTCCTTTTTATGCTGTTTACAAAGATAGGGGCACATGCAGCTTGAAAAGCCAGTCTGCCATCAGATTGGAACAGTTAACAAACTTCAAACGCATTTTCAGTGGAAAAAAAATTGCTAAGCCATATTCCAAACACACTGCTTGAACTGCAGGGCAACATCAGCTGAAGAAAACTGAACAACAATTTAAAATAAATCACCTCTAGAACATAAAAACATGAAATACGTGCAGCTTATTTATCTTATTGCCACCTAACGCTCATGAAAAGGGGTAAATGCCAGTGTTAGCTGATAACCTTTCTAATATTCCAACCCAAAACACCTTTTCTTCAGGAAAAATGTCTTCCAAGGTGCTGCTGAGAAAGAATTAACAGCTAAAGAAGAGCTGATGAACTGACCTCTACACAACCAAGAGCACACAGGAAATATTTCACAGGGAAAGCAACAGCTGGCAAATAGATTTATACCAGTTTTGTTTAAAAGAAAACAAAAAAAACACACACACAAAAAATATCCACTGCACCCCAAGCTTCAATTCCCTAAGACATTCAGCTCAAGTCAGCTGCCACACTTGCTTGAAAACAAAAGAATTCTCAGCCCATGCTACGATCCCACATTAAATTTAGCTCTGCAAAATTCTGGCTGTTGCCTCCCCTGAACACACCTAATCAAAGGGTGGCTCTAACCAGCCCTTAAAATGTGTTTTCTCCTTCGTGCAGGGCTTCATTTTTTAAACCTACCATGTACTCCTGAAACAGTTCTCTGAATACAGAACTGCCAGATTCCTTTGCTTTTTAAAAGCCCCCACCATCACACCACAGTAATATCAACCACCCAGGACACCAGAGATCCATCTGGTCCAGCATTTGATCCCTGGCTACCAGCAAACATCACTGGGATAGTAAAGGAAGAACACAGGAGCAGAGTAATAATACACATATCACTTCAAAGCAATATTTATAAACCACATTCTCCACATATTAAGTGATTTTTGAATCAGGAACTTCTGGAGTCATTCTGCCTTCTGCAATACATTCAAAAACAAGTCTATGCAGTGAATAAAATAAGGAACTCAGGGGAGAACAGGGAGAGAGGAAGATAAATATGATGAGAGATTATGCAATATATATACCCAGGGATATAAAATAAGAGATGCACAAATGGTTGGTATGAGCTAATGGAAGCAACAGTAGCAGAGAAACATTATTATCTGCTCTATGTTCCATTACAAACAGGAAAACTGGCAGTCATTTCCATCAACATTTTGTTATAGTTTTGGGGTGTCATTTGAGTATGTTCTAGGAGGCATAAATGTATGAACCTGTTTCCCATTTATGACAGTCCACTTTCCCTCTCCTCTCAGATCTTCTTCCCTCAGCCTTCAACACTTTCCTCGCTCAGAAATTCCCAATTCCTATTTGCACGTCTGTCCAGTCCAGGGCCAGCTCTGCTCCCTCTCCCACAGGTTGCCATGGACACCAGAAACCTGGAAATGCATTTGCCAAAGGAGGGGCAGCATCCCTGTCACTCTGCAGTCACTCACAAGGTGATTTTCAAAGCTAAGAACTGAAGCACAAGTTTGGCTGAGCTCAGGGTAGAAAGGACCTTGACACTCTGCAAAATCAGAGAAAACTGCAGTAAAAAGGCACTTTTCCTGCTCAGAACATCCAAATGGGAAGTTACCCCCAGTGACAAAGGCATGTGACGTTTAGAGCAATGACTTTTCCATTTTCCAATCCTTGATCAGAGTTGCAGCTTATTTTCTATCCTCACTGGCAACAAACCTGTGTGAGAAGATACAGGACTGTGCCCACTACATGCTTACACCAAAAATGTAACTAGCAAAAGTTCTAACCAGGCAATGCTTAATTCACAAAGCCAGTTAATCTAAATCATCAACAAACTTTTACCCAAATAAAGGAAAACTTGCAGACAAAGGTCGACACACAATTTTTTCTGAAAGTAAACGTGGAACTAGCATGAAATAACCTTGATGAAGGCAAAGTTCTACCTCCTTAAGTGACAGAATCCAATTCCAGCCACCACACCTGCTTTGCTTTACTTACCTGGGCACACAAAACAAAAATTATTTTATTCTGAAGAGGGATTTCAGGCATCTATGAAACAACACTTTAAGTAGAGAAAAGGGAAAAAACCCCATGTGCTTCATGATGAGCTTCCAACAGAAAATAATGTCAGCTAGCAATAATAGCAAGAAAAATTGCATTTGTAGCTGCCCAAGTAAAAGCCTCTGTTATTGTTTAAAAGTAAACTATTCCAAATTTTCTGGATTTATTCCCTTCCCCAGCACATGTGAAAACACCCCACTAATTGTTGACAGACAGCAGAGCCACACACAGAAATACACCCTCCCAACTGCACAGCTGCAGAAATTCAGATGAGTTCTCTGTCAGGTTTGCTGATGGTTCCATAAAGCTGAGAGAGATGTAACTTTAAAGCAAGGAAACTGTATTTGACCTATTTAAAAAGCTTCCTTCAAGGGTTCAGTGGAAACAAATTATATCTGTGCAAAGCTGCACAAGGTCTGGAAGCCTCCTGGCAGAACAGGTCAGGGGAAAAACTGTGTCAGAATTCTGCTCCTTCCATTTATTTTCCTTTTCTTTCCCTCTGACTCGTTGTTTTCTTGAAACTTCCCTTTCCCTGGGTGGTTACAGGTTCATGTGACAGTCCCTGTCTCCTCACAGCTCATTTACTGCAATGCACACAAAGAAATGAGTGTCCTGACGTCAGAGCATTTGCATGGAAACACAGATCTGCAGGGATGCATCTCACCCTGCTCAGCCCTGGGTACGGTGCTAAACAGCAGATCATTTTTCTTACAGCAAGATTAATAGGTCTTTTTTTAGGCTTAGAGGAGCCTGTGCAGATGGATTTGTAGATTTGGCCCCTAAGCATGAACTGATGGGCACCCAAATCATGGCTGGACCGGACACTCGCTGGTTATTCCAACACTTTCCACATTTACGTTGCCAGAACATAAATATTCCCATTCAGAGCAACATGGAGATGAGGTCCAGCCCACGTGGTGACTGCTGGACACTAACAGAGTACCTCATTTTCCTGTAGTACCTGCAAACATGTCCCTGTCCCTCGGCCCTGCCCCACAGCACTGAGTGAAACAGGTAGAAAAAACCTGGAGTCAAATAATGTCTTCACCAAAATAATTAATGCAATGGTTAATGGTTTCATGGAGCAAGGTCAAACCTGATTCTCAGACTTCGTTTCATTATCCAGAAGTGAGAGATGAGCACATTTTCAGAATCTCAAAGAGAATGCAAACCCAGATAAACTATACAAGTCCAGACACCTTTTTTTCCTAAACCCCAAACTAATGACACCAAATACATTCGCTCAGATTTGACACGTGCTGAGAGCCATGGGATGCTATCACTGCACATTCCACCAGCCCTGCTCCAGAAATCAGTGCCACCACTTGGAGCTGGATTTGAAAATAAGGATTTCCAGCAAAGGGGCTTTGGGTATTTTATGTCTGCACTGAACAGAGAACACACTCAGACCCTGGCTGGGTTTTTGCAGAGGTGTGCAAAAAACAGTCATGAAAATGTTTCCTACAGCCACATTTCCATGGCCCTGTCACCACACATTGCTCTAAGGAATGTCAGATCCAACTGTAAAACAATCCCACACAGCCACCCTTTCAAAACAAGGGGACACGTTGGCATTTCTCTCTCCCTTCTTGCTGCACCACAATCTGAGAAAATAAATCCTTTTTCCATCCTCAGTTTAGAAGCCATTCTTCTCCACTCAGGCAGAGCCTCAGTAAATGAGAGTGGCCTCACAGCTCCAAGGTCCTCCTCACCCAGTGATACACAAGCATTGTTATAAAACAATAATACAACCCTCGGCCAAAAGAACTTTTTCTTTTTTTTTTTTTTTTAAGTGGGACAACGTAAAAAACAGGAAGCCATAAACAATTCTTTATTGATATTCTGGTTTTATGCATCATAAAACACTTGTTTCTTTCAGCTGGGAAGAACGAGGCACATCTCTGGTACCAGACAATTTAAATAAACTGTACTTCTGAGATTTGTGGAGTTTTGCAACCAAACATGGTCCTCAGCTTCCACACTAACAGCAAATCTATTTTGGAGCTTCTGGTTTCTAAGTTACACAGTTTTCAAATGAAGTTTTGAAAGCATAATAGAAAAAAAAATCATGAAGTATTTTTGAGGAATATTGTCTTACTGAAGAACTGCACCTTCCAAGTGCCATTTAGATCTATTGTCGCTCAAAAGGCCTTTTCTGATATTCCCTTCCATGCAACGAGTCCTGCCT